AAGAAAAAAAAAAAGAAAAAAAACCCAAAAAAGAAAAAAAAAAGCGTATTTCAAAATCCTAATTATAAATTAGGAAATGATTATTCACTAATTTGCTTATATAATACTGATTATTTCAATAAAAAAAATTTTAAAGATTTGACTCTAATTGATGATGTTGTGTCAAATGTAGCAAATAATACTTGTCATTTCAAAGATCCCTAAAGGACATGGGCTTTGCTTAAGATTTTTGCTTAAGTTATTTGTTGGCTTTTAAAATTTTGGTACTTTTAGTTGTGTGTAATGTTAATACTGATACCCAATCTCTTAATCTCAAGTTCATGTGCCTGATGCACAGTAAGCCAATCACCGAGACATAGGTGCTTGGAGACAGAGAAAAGTTTATTCAAATTCGCCAAAATGAGAAGGCAGGGGAGGATAGGTTCTCTCAAATCCGTCTTAAAAAGAGAAGAAAGCAGGGGGTTTTGTAAAGCTAAGGGGTTTGGAAGGAGGAGTTTCAGAGAAACGAAGGGGTAATCCATGTTTCTTTCACCCAGATAAGCCCTTGGGCAATCTGACTTTTGGATGTCAACGGCAGCTGGGGACTGTTTATCTGGTGATCATAACTTCTTTGAAGGCATTCTTTGTCTTCTGTAAAACAAGCTCATAAATCCTTGTGACCCTTGAGTCACCCCTCAGGTTAAACAAGAAAACGGCAAATTGACAAGATTAACTTCTTTTCATCTATGTCTGTGTTAGGAACAAGGTCAAAAGGTAATCATGTTCTTATTGAATATTTATAGTAACCCTCAGGTACCCTGCTTCAATACTATCCTAGAAGTTGTAGGATTTTTTTAGTATTTCATGTGCTGAGTTTTTTTCTTATAACTAAGAACTTATGAAATGATTTAGAAACGCTCGGAAATAAGAAGTTATGATGTTTATTGTTGATTTTCTATAATTGAATTCCATCATTACAATTGACCTACATTTTAATAAAGATAATACTATAATTTAGCAACTTTAACCTTTGGTTTGCCTTTTACTTAATTTGTTATTTGTTATTTACCTAAATAATAACTTTGTGATGAGCTAGCTTAAGTTTTAGACTCTAAAATAACTCACTAAATGGTCTTTTGTGGACTTATAATACTGTATTTTAACATCTACGTTGTAATTGTTATTTACCAAACTGTTATTTTGCGGGGAGAGGAAATGGCCTTTTATTCTTTTTTAGTTTAAAATGTGCTTTTCAGGCGCTGGCCCGGTGGCACAAGTGGTTAAGTACACGCACTCCGCTGCAGGCAGCCCGGGATTCGCAGGTTCAGATCC